TGCGAACTTTGGATATTCTAGATTGTAATACGCATTTTTGAACTCCGGCGTCACACATGCAAGCACAGCTCGTTTCTAAATGAAGATATTCGGCCAACGCACCGCGGTTGTGTGCCAAGGAATTTTATTTTTTTTACTGTGAAGGCATCGAAGGAACCGGTATGTAAAAGAAACAAAAGTCATTTAATAACAAATAAACGTCACAGACGAGTTATTGACTGCCCCATTGGAGTGTTATTATACGCTACACAAATTTATTTTTGAAATGTGGAAATAGTTTTTAAATAACATATGTAGTTGTATTCGACGTCTGTTAATAACATGTTTTATTTTGTTTTTCAAGTTGTTAGACATCTAACAACATTTAACTTAATAAATTAAAATTCTATAAAATTTAATAATTTCTTAGTTGTCTCAGTTGTTATACAAGGTGTCCCAAAAGTCGACGTCAAGTCGAAATTTTCTCATAGGTAATCCACACCAGTTATCAGAAAAATTAAAAAAAAAAAATTAAGTCATGAGTTCTTAAGGTATGGAAATTTTCCTTTTTTTCCAGAAATTAATATTAAGTTTTTCATTCCTGTTGTTACAAATATTTACTTTTTGCCAATTTTTTTCTCTTAGTATCTCAATAGTCTTTATGTAACTATATCCTAAACCCTTCCGATCACTCCAACTTGTAGGAAAATGTCATTTTATACCGTACCAAGTTTTCAAAATTAATTTTTGCATAGTTCAATGATGTCCTGAAAAAAAGTACTATCAGTTGCAAAGCTTTAAAGATATTCTTATTTCTTAGATCGCATAAAAATTTTTTGTTAAACAAAGTCTGTTTTTTAAAAATTTCTCTGAATTAAAAAAGATTTTAGTGTACCAAAGCGTTCTAATAACCACAGCGTGGTTTAAATAAGATGGCGTAAAGTGTGAGCAGACGATTACCCACTTATTCTATTGACACACCATAAGTCAGTACCAAGCTCCTTCGTTTACTACCATCTTTTGTATTGCTGGTGTTATTTTGTGTTCTAACTACTTTGGCTTCGTTTACGGGGATAAGGTTTACCTCATTTATAGGGAATGTTTATTAATCCAGTGAACTAACGGTATCCAGAGATACCCTAATCAATCCTATCCGATCACAGAGTTTTTACCAATGTGCCCGTCTACTGTTCTCTGAGGGCCGACTCAAACAATTAAGGTAGAATTTCACTACCTACGAGGCAGTTGTTCTTCAAGAGTTGATGAGGACCCAAGTTGTTCGGTACGTGAATTGAGGCCACAAGTTCCAAAAGTACACCTCACAATACTACAAAAAAATAAGCGAAGCAGTAGAATTTTATAATGGAGTTTCCCGCTTTTTCACGATCTTTTTAAGAAGATGTCAGCCTTATTGCAGCTGAAGGAGCAATTTGAACATCTTTTATAAAAAATATAATTTCATAAAAAAGAAACTGTCTATTTTACTTATTTCGTCGTATGTCATAAGCGCTAATAATATATCTGTCTCGCTAATTTTATGGAATGTCTCACTCCATCTTATTTAAACCACTTTCATTAGGAAGTTTTGGGTGCGCTAAATCATTTGTTGTAATTTCAAAGAGATTGTTAAAAAAGATTTGTTTAAAAAAAAATTCTTATGGCCGATCTAAGAAATAATGGATCAGTGTTATACCACTGTAGAATCCTTATTAAATGCGCTAACTTTTAAAGCTACTTGCCAAACTGGAGTAATACATTTTTTTTTCAGGACGATCAGTTGAAGTAGTGCGAAAATTAATTTTGAAAACTTGGTACGGTATAAAATGACATTTTCCTAAAAGTAGTGATCAGCAAGAGTTTAGGATCATAGTTACATAAAACACTATTCGGGATGACGTAAGAGAAAAAAAATTGGCAAAAAGTAAATATTTGTAACAACAGGAATAAAAAAACTGTCACATGGTGTGCATTTTCTGGAATAACAAAAAAATATTCATAACTTCAAAAATACATGACTTATTTTATTTTTCTGATAACTGGTGTGGCATTACCTATGAGAAAATTTCGACTTGACGTTGACTTTTGGGACACCCTGTATAAGCCAGGATGCCTTACAAACCAGGAATGAATATAGGTTACATATTATACACCTAGATGATTCCTTCCTAACCCTATTGCTACATGCATGTCTATAAAATGAGACCTCATTTATGTCGGGGCGATGATCCCGACTTCCATTCAACCGTAGTCGACAAGTATCTAACAGGTTAGTGGTCTTTTACTCCCTTTCTGCTATGGAATATTTCTCTATATTTCTATAATGGGGCTTCTAAACGGGCCATGTTTTGCTGCAATTAATGGCTGCAATACTGCAAACAATAGCAGCCACACTATGCAATATTGCAGTAATGTCCCGGCCATATAGCCAAACATGTTTTGTATAGCCACTTATGGCCGATGTTGCCCCGATGGGTTGCCGGACGATCGCTAGGCTATCGAATTCAACTGCAATATTGCACAGCCAGTTCTATTGTTATTTCAGTCACTCTCTTTGTTATGGCACAGTGTATTCTTTTCTACGCGACATGAAGTTTGCTATGAGTGAAGTGTGCCTGTTGCTATATTCTGTGTTTTGCGATCAGCTGCATTTTGAGGTTAGGCTACTACGTAAAAACGACTACTACGTGGTCTAACGAGACAATTACTGATTTCTCATTTCATTAATGAAATAGTTGAGGGATATAAAATCCGGCATATACAAAGATAGGAATGCTAAAAAAGATGCATGGAATGAAATCGCTGAAAAGTTTGGCATAACAAGCAACGAGGCTTACAAAAAATTTATTTTTATTTTTAGTCCAATTTTGTTTAAAAGAAAGTCGAAGTCACCTTTTGACATTCTAGTAAAGTTCTTGAATAATTTATTATCAAGGCTTATTTCTAGACTCAAATTGTCTACAGTTTCACGCCTATTTAAGTAAGGTCGAATCCACAATCTCTTCTTTTTCTGTTTCTTTTTTAAAACAATATAAGCTGCTGCGACAAGTGTGATTTCGTCAGCCATTTTTGCCGGTTTGTGTAGCCCGTTTAGGAGTCTGCATCATGGGCCATACATACTATTGCAGATATATTGCAACACATTGCTCAGCTATAGATTGCTCGGCCATCAGCTGCATTAAAATATTTTTGTAATGGCCGGGCAATTAGTTGCCAACAGTGCAGCCATCAATTGCAGCAAAACATGGCCCGTTTAGAAGCTCCATAAGTAAATTACAAAATATAAATTTGAACTACTAGAACCATATACGAAAACGGAGACCGAACTTAATCTTGGTCTAATTCAATTAAAAACTATGGTTTCTAAAATGGTCTATGCAGTTTGAAGTTATTAATTAAGTTGTAGCTTGAAATACGCATATCGTTTTATGTAAACGAAATTGTTTTGGCTTCAGGCCTGCGATTCTGTAACTCACTTTTCGAACTCACACAGCAGTTTTTACAGCGGCGGTCGCGCTCAAATCAGTCGTAAAGGAGTCATTTTACGATTTGGCATTCTGATAAACAATAAACTACATGGAGGGACCTTATCAGAATGCCAAATCATAAAATGACTGCTTCACTGCTGTATGAGTTCGAAAAGTGAGTTACAGAATCGCAAGGCAGGCCTGATTACAGTAAATACAGTAGGTTACATTTAAGTTTTCAACAAATTGTATTATATTATATTCACTATAATTGTCTTTTTTATAGAACAGGGCCTAACAGGCTGGAGGCTCTAAAGATGAAATGTATTAATCCGAGCAAATCCTCAGAACACTCTCCGAGGTAAATGTAGAGATCAAATTCGGCCCCGCTCCATGCGGATTCAATTATTTTTAGTTAAATTGTATAGTATTCAAAATAATACAATTCATTTCATATACCTAACTCTCACATATTGTTTGATATCCACAATTATGTTTTTACAAATGTCGAAAAAGAAAATATATTACTAACTTCATAAGTAAAGTATATAGAGAGACATTTATCGAGAGAGTTTGTTTTATTAATCACATTATTAATAGGATACGCGTACTAAACCGAAAAAACTGTTCTTCTTCAGAAACGAGAAATTTCGGCTTACTTATAATATGTTATATATTTATATTCTTATCTAGTATTATTATGACTTTCATAAGAAATCTTTTTAGAGGGTGTAGTATTATTTTATAATATAAAGAGTACAACAGCTATTATTATATATTAAGTCCATACTATATAAATAATAATATAGTTATAAACGCATCATGTATTATTTAAACTCAATTATATAGAATAACGTGCGTTTGCCTTCAAATAATTAGGACAAAATTGCGTAAATGTAGTCGTTAGCACATTTGCTATGCAAAAAGGTAAAAACTGCAAGCTACGCATCGATTCAGACATAAATAATGTAATTTGTTAACACAAAACACATGACACGATTTAAACAATAACTTCAAATTGCATCGTATATGGTCCTAATAGGTCATCGTAAATTAATCCCTCGAGTCGAGTCAGCATTGAGACGGGCTTGTTCAATTTTTTGTGACAATTATAACGCAGATTATATGAAGGGGCGTTATAATAATACATAAATTACTTGCTAACTCAGCAGATTCATTCCCCGTAGAGTATATTTCTTATCGCCGCATCTTACTTGACTTTATGCCCTATAACCAAATAAATATAAATATATGGGGCAGAGGGACAGTGGGTCTCTATCGCGTTCGGTATTGAGTCTCCTATTTAACCTCGCTCCAAGTCTTTTCGGCTCTCTTTGCATAATCTGCAACTGTACGACGCCATGTTTGGTTGGGCGGCCACGCTTCTGATTTCCATGTGGGTTCCAATCAAGCGCCTACTTGGGGATATAATTGGAATCCCTTTGGAGTGTATGGCCTATCCATTTCCACTTGCGAAGGTTGCTCGGGCTTAGGCGTGAAGCAATGTCTTCTTCTGTACATCCAGTTTCAGACACGACGCTTCCGAGCTAAACAAATTTATGAACGCTTTCCACATCCTCTACACCATCTTGCTAATGGGGTGCGGTTCCCAACTCCAACACGCATTTCTTTCGTTTTCCGGTGATGATTTTGAGTAGGTGGCTCGACATTGATGTCAAGTGGCCAAGTGGGTGGTGGACATGTGTCTGGCGAGGCACCAGATATGGACAATGCTGTGGGACGAAAGGTTTCCTCAAAGTCACTGCTCACGACAGCGTGGTAGTTGTCCTTCTAAAGATACGATAAGCTGACCGTCTTTTGACACTTCACTGCCTAGATTATGGTCGCTTTATGTAGCTCTGTCATGTTGCCGGTGTAAGCACAATCTCCTGTATTTTCGCGATTTGTCATTGTTGAGATTTGTCATTTTTGAGTTCCCTACGCACGCTTATCCAAAGCTAGCTTATACGCAATATACGCTAGCTTTGAATTTTAGGCTCTCAACGCAGCAAGAAGGCGACTTTAACCTTTAAAATACTAGGCGAATGAGGAAACATTGACAAAAGTTTAATTTTTGAATTTTATACTCTTATTTTCAATCTATTGTTCATATACAGATAAAAAAAAGTTTATTTTTAAATAGAATTTATACTTTTGTAAAATAGTCTGAATCAAACGTTCTACGATAATCATTCTGTTGCTGTTATTTTATGTTTATTAATTATTTTTATGCTAAAACCTTAGTCAAATCATTATCTTAATTTTTTTATTATGACAAGGCTACTATTATAATATTTAGCTAGTACAAAAAATTGTACTTAGTCTTTCTTAAGAGGAAGGAAACTTAAGATTCTAAAAGAAAGTTTAACATAACTGATATATTATATACCACGAATTCGTATTTTATACCTTTTAGATTCGTTGGCTAACATCCTTATTTAACTCCTGCAATAATTTGTAGAGCAAACACGAGTAGGTCATTATTGTTACAAGAAAATATATTAATCTGTAGGTACTTTTTAAAAGATGATTCTTGTTAAAGCCTCTTATTTGCCAATAGGTCACTTATGGATTTCATAATAAATGTGTATTTTTACAAAGTTAGGTAAACTTTGTAAAAATGTCTAGATTTGTGTTGATAAAATACACAATAAAATTAGTTGTAGTTTAAATGCCAACGAACCAGTTTCCACGATTTATGTTTTACAAATTGTACCTCGTAAAGAAAACGGCCTTTTTGGAAACAATATAATAGGAAGAAATAATTGTAGATATTGCAACATTGTGAGTTTATTTAATATAATAAAAGGAAACTAAAGCAAATCTCGAATCTCTCTTTGGAAATGGAACATTAAATGCACACCGATACATAAAGGAACCCCTAATTCCAAATGCACAACCACATTGTCTGCTCTTGAGGAAGAGTTCATTTCTTCTGGAGGACAATGTTCGCCCGCACCGTTCTGGTGACGTGGAAGCGTTCCAAGAAGTTGGGATCCGGATGGGAGTCGTTTAGCTTGGCTGAAGTCTTGACCTCAAACCAATTGACCTTGTCTGGGATCTTCGAAAGATACGAGTAAGATCAGCGCAAACTGCTCCAACAGGGAGCCAAAAAGAGTCATTGCAGAAGAGAACGTATACCTCAAAACGTTATTAAAAACATCGTGGAAAGCGTGCCCAGAACGATTCAAACTGTGATTATGATAAGACCAGGTCAAACTGGTTCTTAGGTTTTTACATTAGTAACTTTATTTATTACAAAAAAAGAATGAAAATCCTCTTGCCTTTATTGCCGACCACTTTTTATTGTTTGATTTTTATTTTAAAATTGCCAGAATTCACTTCAGACGTATTAATTTACACGATTATGGGTATACAGACTGCGTAAGACAATTAAATTTCATTTTATTAACTGAAATCGACCCTAGAATGATTAGGTGCCCTTTTTTGCAAATAAGTCACGCTTTCACCGTTACGATAAATATATTAAAATAATAATAATTCTCAATGTTTGTTGCATATCTTTCTGGATATATTATAGGCAAAGAGCCACAGTTTATGTATACTGGCACTAAATGTAAAGTTAGAAGCATACATTTTTTTTTGACGTTCATAAGTGTACATTGTGTTACCTAGTTATTATATGATTAAAATATGATTATATGATTAAAATATGATTTTTGACTTTTGACTTGACTTTATATATTTTTTAAGCTATTGTTACAAATACTTCATAAGTCATATTCAGTCTTATCATTTCGCATTGTTAGATTGGAATTATTTTATTTTACATAAATTATGTACTATACTTATAAAATAAACTCACGCTAAATAATTTATACTGTTGTTTTGGCCTTGAGACAAGTAATAGCAATATCATTTAAATTAATTATCAATAACGAATACCTAGTAACAATAAATTGATGTTTTAAACCCTAAAATTTGGGTTTGCTAGTCAGATGAGGTGAGTTTCAGCGAGAGCCAACACCGCGATAATGTGACGCAAATGGAAGTCTGGCGCACTATATTTTGACAGAGGGTCCGCGATTGTGAAGGTTTCGCTACGTATAGGTTTGCTAGGGTACCACTAAGAGTTCAAAAGGAGCTAAAGAGAGGCTGTGCAGATAGAGAGAAAGGGTACCATAACCCAGAACACAGAATTCTTTTATACAGGATTATAAAGTGTTAAGATAACTGCACAATTCGCGTTATACGTTTAAGGTTTACTTTATACATACATACATACATCCACGTTTGTTAAGTTTTAGGTGTACTATACATTAGTATTTAACGCAATAACTGTCTGAAAAGACTTCAGACACATTAGATAATTGCGCAATATATTAGTTATATATAAATGTATTGCATTAACATCATCACTTGTACTTTCTTGGTGTTCTTTTCAGGCCATTCTTGAACGTAATATTAACTGGGTTCAGTTGTTTTCATAGGCCTTCATATGACGCGATTCTAATAAATGTGGTTCATGGACGCTATCACTGCCCGATGGTCCATTGATGTGACATTCTGCCTAAAAAATCGATTTCAAAAATTAGGAAAAAATCGATTAATAAAAAAATCGATTATTTTTTTAGCATGAAAAATCGATTCTATTTTTCAAATTAATTTCAAAATAATCACCCTAAATATTTTTTTTCATGTTTTTAATTATAAATAAACAATAGAAATTATAAACACAAATTAACGTTTAAGAATAATCAAAATCGGAATTAACTTAATGTCGTTTTGATAGATTTTAGGTGAAATTTGATAAATGCTGAGTGTATGCCTTTTCAGAGCACATTGCAGTATTTTTGATGTATTTTTAATTGTATGTAATCTTGTTCTGCTGAATAAATTTATTTTACTTTTAAATTATAGTGTTCCATTCAAACTTTGAGTTTTTGTAAAATTAACTGGTTTTATCATCCTTTCGATGTTTTACAAAAAAAACATCAATGCATCGAGTATATCAATACATCTTCAAGGAATCGGATTCACTGCATTGTAAACATCGTTGTATATCGATTATCCCTAATAGTTCGAGGTCCGGGTTATAAAAGACCAGACATAATGTCGGGAGATGGCAGATAAAAAATCGACTATGATTGATTTTCAATTATAAAAATAATCGATTATTTTAAATATAAAAATCGCGTAAAAAAATCGATTTTTACTTTTTAAAAAATCGATTAAAATCGATTTTTTTAATAATCGATTATTTTTTCACATCCCTAGTCCATTAGTTCGTTTCCAGCCTTTTAAGAATAAGTACGTACGATTCCCATTGTTTGACTTTAATAGTTATACAAAATATGCTGCATTAATACAGCAAGTGAAACTTAAGACGGAGCTAAAATATTTAAATTATATTATCAAAGAAATACGAGTTATCAGAAATTGGTATAAAAACTCGTTGAAACGTGTAAAAAGTACGTTAATACCATGAGGGAATTGACTAGTAGCACGTTACTTACGTTACTGTCAGCAACACTGGTGAGTAGCGGAGAAATTGTCTTAAATTTGATTATCTTGGCAGGGCATATGACCTGAGAGGTTGGGACCTTAAAACGAATGCGCTTCGTTTCATTCTGGTTGGTCACTTTCTGGATATTTGAGTGTATAATTGATTGTCAAGCAATAATGTATCCATTTTATGTTCATTACCTAACAGCAGTCACTCGCGTTAATTTAGTATACGTGGACATACGCGCATTGTTATAAAAAGATATTAAAGACAATTTTGCTATAAAATACATTATTGTAATAACTGTAGGTAGATATGTACTTTTTTAGATATTTTTAAGAAGAAGGAATATTTTTGTGTTACCGTTTACGCAGCGCCACATCAGAAACTCTCAAAGAGGGATTCCTTTTCTCACTTTTTATTCATACTCCGGTGCTATTGGAAACCAATAGCTTTCTGTTATTAATAGATTATTGAACAAAATATTCTTGTAAGTTTGAACCTACTGGCCCTGTTATAGAGCCTTCAACCTAACAATCAAACCACCTTTTATCTTTATTATTACTATAATACTTATAAATGATTCAAATTTGTGGATTTGGTATCGCTTATGAGAACAATTTAGGAAATTTTCTTTAAAACTAACTCTTGCAAGCTACAATTTTTTACATGACATTAATTTTAAAGCAATTATCGTAAAGTTTCATACAACAAATTCAGTACAAATTTCATAGTTTATAGCGCAATTTTTTGACTATCAGTCAACTTTATCCTTGTCCATAAATCTAATCTATTATTTATAACAATTACTAATACACTTAAAACACAGTTTCTCAATATCTCTTATCTAACAATATCATCGTATGCCTAAATTCATGATTTGAAGCTGTTTATACTTGGTACTCGTTTAAAATTGAAACGATTCTACGCTGTTCGGGGGAGTTTATCATAAATAATAACCTAGAAAAACTTATATAAAACTAGGAATACGTATGTATGATAAATTTGAATAAAACTAATAAAAATGCAAAAAAAACGATTTTTTCTCTTTTTCAAATTAAATTTTAACAAGTTCCGATTACGTAACTTTAACGCTACGTTTAAGTAAAGTAAAATGTAATTATAATTATATATTACTTTATCTATATTCTAACGATAAAGCCATAGAACAAATTTCCCGGCATAAGATAAAAACAATTATGGCCTTTTCAAAGTGAAAGCATAAATTTTCTTCGGCTTTCTTTTTTAGTTTTCGAAATCGTTAACGAATGATATACGAAGACTGAATATATAAATTAGAAATTGTGAACATGTTAAAGAAACTTTGCACTGAAGATATTTTCTTAAATAAATTATCGTTATTGTACTAAAAACGGCCAAAAAAGGGCACACAGATACCTTAAAGAAGATTAAAATAGAAACGTGTTTAAATGTAAAAGTATCTGAATATAATTCTTAATATAATTTTTTTTTCTAAAATAAGGAACAATTTTGCTGTTCCCCGTATTTGTTTAGATCACGGCTCATCAAAAACATTCATAGGCGACTAGAAAACCAGTCCACTGTTGCTGTTTCTCTCAAATATGAAGTCAGGCTGTTTAAACAGTGTTTTAATGCCACTGGATGTGAAGAAACAATGAAAATATCATATTTATAAGCAATATTTCTAATAAACAAAACTGTATTCTAAAATTTTATATCATACCGGCTTTAGTACTTAAATAATGTGCACCTGAACTGACTCCTATAATGACACGCTTGTATCGCTTATCCCTAAATTGTGGAATGGTGCCCAGGTCGTGAAAGCTTGCTAACGTGCAACCTGTGTCCAAGAAAAGTAGCCGTTACGACCGATTTCGGTGACCTCTGCAAATAGACATCAGATTTCTTGAAGGAGCGCTCACTTAACGTGATCGTCGGTGGCTGCTCTTCTGATCTGGCTGTGAATGCCGGTGTACCACAAGGATCTATTCTCTGTGCGACTCTTTTCTTGATACATATCAACGATATCATGAAATCAAAAATTTTCGGCTACGCTGATGATGGAACTATCGTTCAATATCTGTCCAACGCTAGAGAGTCGAGAAACGATATTTAATTTTAAAGGAAGGTTATGGTTGAACGTCTAAATTGGACCTTAAAGTAGGTTTCGGATTGGGGCGAACCTAGTCCAATTTAACACAAATAAAACCCAGGCCTGTCTAATGAGTTGCAAAAAGAGTGCTTTTGGCTTTAGTCCAACTTTCCGGGGTTGCTTCCATGGAAATAGCTGACCATCTAGAGTTGCTTGGCGTTACTTTGTCAGCTGATCTCAACTTTGGGCGTTTTATTCACTCAAAGGCCCAGGTTTAGGTTTTATGGCATCAATAAAGTTTTAAATTTTAATTTAATTTTTAATTTCTATTTAATTTTTTTTTGTGAAACTTATGCTTACATTAATTGGTACACATTTTAGATGTGAGATTTTGTAAAGTAATTGGTAATTTTGGTACTGTGTGTGCTGTCGTGGGCTTAATAACTAAATAAATAAATAAATAAACTAAATAATTAAGAATTAAAAAAAAAAAAAGTAAATTTTTCGGTTGGATGTCGGTTTCCTTCATCGTTTATTTTGCTAAAAGAAGTAAAATATATTGGCGCTCAAATCGGAACCTTTTACGTTTCCAGTGCTCATGAGTGTATATTTGATATTTATTTAAAAATTTCAGGTAGTTTCGGTAGATGGTTGCAAAATAAAACTTAACGATGGAAACGAGATTCCAAACTTTGCTTTTGGTACATATAGTCTGGTAAGTTTTTTTGTTTAGAAATGTTCGATCGGCCTATATTAAATAAAATTGTATAGATTTTTATATAACTTTAAACTAAACTTATCTTTAACTATACTTAGCTTTTGCGTATTTAATTTTTAACACTTTTATTTAAACATTTGGGTGTCTATAAAGTCGGTTTACGGACAATAATTTTACGTGATAACGTCATAAGAAAACATTAGGAAAAATTCACATCAAAGATTCGCCGTTTATAAATTTGTAGAAATGAACCGAACCAAGCATAGAGCTAAACATCGCACAAACATTTTTATGATCTTTCAAGCAAACGATTTTTGCTCGTAAAATAAAAAATTATGACCTGCATATATACTTATGACTTACCTAAAGGTAGCCAGTATGCTCGCCAGACCGCTCGATAAATGATTCCTGAAACACTCCTGTTTACTTTTCTGTAATGTAACATTCGCAAGAATGATCATATATCAGGACATTCAAAAAGATATGTGCAAGTACGTAACGGCAATTATATACCGTATTGTAAGTTAAGTTAACCTTTAATGTTAAGAAATTTTTTTAACATATTATCGTTTTTGTTTCTTAGAAAACTCCTACACAATCCATTGGACGAGCGATTGAAGCGGGCTATCGACTTATTGATACAGCTGCCTTATACGCAAATGAAGAAGAAATAGGAAAAGGTATACGCGATGTCATTGAACGAGGGATCGTTACACGTGCTGAATTGTTTATCAGTGGAAAAGTATGTACATTCATTTATTATCCGATATCAGACTTTTTTATTCAAATTTTTCGCCACTCACTTATAATTAATTTACGTAGGTTTATAATTAATTAGTAGTTTCTTCTTTCAGCTATTCTATGTGGGAAGGCATGAGACAATTATGATCTTAAATTAGGGCTAGAAATCCGGATTGTCCATTAAATTACCTCTATTATAGAATCATAATTATAGGATGGTTAGGTAGTTTAAAGAAATAAGTATTTAAAGGTTTTTTTCAATTCCGTAAACTTATTTTAATCTAAAGCTGGCCGTTAACTATTACTAATGGGCTTTGAGTAGGGCTGTCTTAAAATTACAGTTGTTTTACCAATGGGGCAGACACAATTCTGCAACTCTTATGTGATTTTTTTTATATTTTTTAATTTATTATTATTGATATAATCATCAATCGGCTTTATGGTTACGCTCGTAACTAAATCCAAGGGATATAAATCATTAGACATAACGCTCCGTGTCAATACTTGTTGGACTGATATGCTTTTGACCAATCTCAATAAAAGGCGCTCCGTTTTTTCGTTCGTTTTACATTCTCACCCTCATGATCATCACGTGTCGAAAGAAGTATAGTGTATAGAAACGAAACGGTTCGGCGGTAAACGTGCTAGAGTCTGGTACGTTTACCGCAGCACACACACACACACTTTTCACACATACACAATTTTTTTTCAAATATACTTGAAAAGTATTGAAAATTTTACCAGAGGTTCTGGGATTTTATTCTATCTTTCTGCTCTAAATCAGTGAGCTTACCAATAGTTCTCACTACTGCATCGACTCCTTCTACATCCTCCAGATTTCCTGCGAAAGAAACGAAGTATTCTATCAAATAAAACAAAGTTTAGGCTATTATACCTGTTAACTATTCGGAAAAAATGTATAATAGAAATAAAAATGAGTAATTGCATGAAGTATCAAGACAATAAATCATACTAACCTAAGAAATTCAACACCACACGTAAACAATCTTGTTTTTGGTAGAATTCAGCTCCTTTTTCTTCTTGTTTTTTTTGGAATTTGGATATCAACAGAAGAACAATATCTCTCGAACTCCACTTTTAATAGTTTAACTCATATTTAAACACGTAAATGAATAATAGAACAAAATAAACCAAAAAGAATGTTTGACAACTACTTCCTACAAATATTGAGAAATTCACAATGACATTCTGTATTGCCATCCGAAAGTTTTCAAATAAGGTGAGTGGGGGGAAGATTGAACGGTTTTTTGATGAGATGAGCAGAGTTGTGTTTGAACCTCTTGTAGAACAATAAATATTAACCTGTGCTAATTTATGGCTTTGATCAGTAACAAGCAACTTTCTTTCATATCAATAACATATTGTTAAATTAAGCAGAGAAAATAAGGAAATAAAAATAAAGATTCCACCACAAAATAGGGTAAAGATGAAATCGTGACGGGCAAGATTGTTTTTTTTTCTAAAATCGTTAAAATTAATGTGAGATGCCGTCAACGGTTTCAATTCCATAGCTTTTAGTGACTTGAAAACTCACATCTGATTTTAGTGAAAAAATACCTGTATTTAACAAAGATACAGCTAATTATTTGTTTTTAATATATCAATCTTACCCAAACGGGGAAAGGGGGAAAGATTGAAACAGATGTTCTCAAACTTTTGCCATCTCAGTTTTAAGCCATCCACAAATCCCATCATAAAATTAAGGGGATATATTTATTTGAGTTGGACAAACGGCCATTAAAACAGTAATATTTTCTTCGACTGTGCCATGTTCGAGAGGACGATGTTCCCTTCTTTCGGAATAATATACGGGTCAGTTTGTTTATTTCTGAAATGTTTTAGACATTAAGGTTTTTTTTTAGAGAAAGTCCATGACGTTTACAGAATTTAGTGAACCAATCTGCTCCTGGAACATCGTAATTAAATGGAGTAATATAGCGTTCCACGAGAAAAATTACTTCTTTTCTAGATAGGCCAAAACCCCATTTTCCAAAACTTTAAGGCCATTGGCTAATCTCATTTCGATTTTACGAGCAAATAACAATCTAACATTGTTGTGAATGTAAAAAATCAAACAAATTTAAATTAATTTATTCGTTTAATGCCTTAAAATAAACTTGATAACCTAATAATTTGTGTCACATTCGTAGGTTTTTTTACATAAATATTTGTTACAGTTACCAAACTCTAACCATAGTAAGGAGCAAGTCATACCAGCACTTAAGTTGTCGTTAAGAAAGCTCGGATTAGAATACCTAGATATGTACTTGATACATACACCGATGGCAACGACGGTAATTTTTTTTTATGCTGTTACTAGTTGTTCCCTTCCACGCTTCGCTGTGGCACATTGTGATTGAATGGTTGAGAAATGAGAAACAAAACAAAGAAAACATTTCATATAAGTTTAATTTTGCAATACTTGAAAAAAAAAACAAATGATAAAAAAATAGATAAAAACAATCAAACAATTATTTTACTGTCAATCATGAAAACCATTTAAATGGAACTTGAAGTAATGTCCGATGAATAAATATCAGCGTTATTAACGTCATTGTTTGGTGACGAATACATGTAGGTACGTAATATCTACATGAAAAATGTATCATTAAACTTTTCTTACAAATTCGTTAGTTTGTTGTAACTTTGTAATATATTTGTTCATGATATTAGGGATAGTTACGATATGTTAATTTTTTATTTAATTTTTTATTTAATTTATTATTTATTTGTTATCTTATCTATCTATCTAATTAATAAAATTATTAACTAGGTATAAGGATTTACTAACAAAACTTACGACTTCAAAAAACCGAATGTAATTTTTTAAATTAAATCTATACAATCTAATAAAGAAGAAATTTTTGTATTTTTTTACACGCTTTATATTAGCTTCATTAACGTTTATACTCACCAGCAATAAAGTGAAAAAGTACTGCCCTGCGATTCTGTAACTCACTTTTCGAAATGCGAAAAGTAAGGCTAGAGTAAAACGTAACTTATCAACAGCTGATTTTGGCTTTCCATCACACGCCGAAGCCGATTTATATCAATGAGAGGTTAACAAAGGTCAATCGCTTGCTGTATGGTAAGCTACGAGAGAAATGCAAGGAACACCGTTGGAGATTTGTGTGGACGAAGGAGGGTCGTGTGTTTGCTAGGCAGACAGAAACAACTAAGATAAATATTTTTCGTACTGAAGCCGACATTCTACGTGTGTTTGGGAGTATCCCTAGTATATCTGATACATGTGGCTAAGATTAATGGTAGTGTGTCTTTCTTTGATTTAATATTGTATACTGTCTATACTTTGCCATCGGTAATCGTTTCTGCTAATGATGTGTGTGTTGTGGAAGTATTCAACTTGATCTATTGGTTCTTTGGTATGCATAAACTTATATACTTAAGACACAGTCTAATTTACTTACATTTGTGTATTTATATATTCTGTACCCAGGGTAATATTTGTTTGACTTATGAATACCATCAAATGAAACCACATGACTTAAATATTATTATTTTATTAATTTATTTAAAGTATTGTGTATGTATATGTATATGTTTTTACTATTGTGCATACCAGAAACTTACTTCTATGTATCAATTTATTCATCTTCTGAAAATACCTCTATGTACAAATTGTCTATCTTATTGCTTTCTTATAATTATAATATATCGAAGTTGGGTATTCATAGCTATTACAAGGGGGGATTTATTTATTTATTGCATATTTTTATTTTTTTATATCAAGTAACATGAACAAGCATAATAAATTACTTATTGGTTTTTTTAATGCGGGGTCGTTGGGTACTCGGCATGATGAATTGCGTGTCATATTTGATCGCCATCTGCCGGATATCTTTGCAATCAACGAGACTTGGCTTAGGGATGGGCAGGAGGCTCGTGCACCGACAATACCAGGATACACCTTTCGCCACAGGCCCCGGTCCCCTGAAGTTCGTAGCAGAGGTGGTGGCGTTGGTTTCTATGTCAAGTGTGGTATTAGTGCGCGTGTCTGCTGTCCTCCCCATTGCAATCAGTCTGTGGAGCAGTTATGGCTTAAGATTAACGTCAAATCACTTCGTGTTGCTGTGGGTACGGCGTATCGTCCGCCTTGGCTGAATGTAGACGTTTTCTTAGACGCATTGACGGAGACTATCGCATCGTTCGGTAGCTGTGATTACTTGGTACTTACCGGTGACTTTAATATAAATCTTCTGAAACATCTAGACAGTAACACAGCTCGTTTTAATGCATTTTTGAAAACAGTGGACTTAGTTAATCATGTCAAGGATCCTACGCACTTCACTTCTCACAGTCAGTCACTCATTGATGTTGTTTGCACAAATGCCCCAGTTGCCTGCATAAATATCGAATATATCCCAGATCTTGGTGCACACGCTTTTATTCTAACCGAGTTTAAATTGAACAAACCGAAAGCACCGTCCAAGCGCATAACGTTCAGGCCATTAAAAGATATCGATAAATCTAATCTCGATAAGGTTACTGCATCGATACCTTGGCATTTAATTGAGAGCATTGCTGATGTGAATCAAATGGTTGATACTTTTAATCGTTACATAATCGAACTCTTCGACAGGTTTGCTCCAGTAAAAACAAAGGTGGTAAAAAAGTTATCATACCCGTGGCTTACCAGTAATATCCGGTATATGATGGAGTTGCGAAATGATGAACATCAAAAGTACCGCAGAACCAGGCTGGATGTTCATCTTGAGTCATATAAACAGTTAAAAAGTATGGTTAATTGCAGTTTATTTATGAAAAAAAAGCTTTCTTCGACTACAATATCAATATACATCATAAAAACACTAAGTTGCTTTGGAAAAATCTAAAAAAGAATATCTTGCCTGACTTTGCACGTACAGATGATCTACCTCGGTACCTGTGTGATGCTGATGAGATGAATAAGCATTTCTTAAATATCCCGGGGGATAATATTGTAGACCCTTCCTATCTCGCATACTTTGATGACAATCGATTCAGCGAACGAATTTTTACCTTCGAACCTGTCAGTGAGCATTACGTCGGTAAGCTTATTTTGGACATCAAGAATAATGCACAGGGGGATGACGGAATTAGTAGAGATATGTTTATTTTAACGCTTCCTTATACTTTAAAGATTATAATAGTCATAATAAACAAATCTCTTTCAACCTATACCTTTCCATCACAATGGAAGATAGCCCTTGTCCGGCCAATTCCTAAAATACAAAATCCAATAGAACTCAAAGACTTAAGACCGATCAGCATTCTCCCTTACCTTTCAAAGATTCTGGAACGAGTAGTTTATAACCAAGTCATCAAGCATTGCGAAGCCTGTAACATACTCCCTGCATTTCAGTCAGGATTTAGAGAACTCCGCAGTACCACTACTGCATTGCTTGATGTAGTGGATAATTTGATCTCAGCTCAAGACATAGGTAACCCGTCCATCCTCACTCTTCTTGACTTCTCTAGAGCTTTTGAATGTATCAATCTTCCTCTTCTTATTTCTAAGCTTCGTTACTATGGGTTTGACTATATATCCGCTTCGTGGTTTGGTAGTTATCTCAGGCATCGATATCAGAGAGTATGTTTTTTGGGAAGTGATGGGATCCGTGTTTCATCGTCTCTGGGCCCTGTCGACAGAGGAGTACCTCAGGGGTCTATTTTGGGACCCCTCTTATTTATCTTATATTCTGCAGACATAACTTCATGTATCCAAAATTGTCACTACCATCTATACGCTGATGATCTGCAAATATATCTTCCTGTTGATAGGGCTTGTGTCAGTGACTGCGTCGGAAAAATAAATGAGGACTTGGAACGAATTTCTGTTTGGTCCCATAAAAACGCACACTCCTCTTAAATCCAACGAAGTCGAAATTTCTTATGGTTGGCACCAGGAAGCAAGTGTCTGATCTCGCAAGACAAAGTCCCACAATTCTAGTTAATTCTTCGCCTATAGCTCAGGTCCCAATGGCAAGAAATCTGGGCGTAGAATTCGATAGTCATTTGAGGTTCGAAGATTATGTTACAAATATAGTTCGTAACTGCTTTTTCCGTCTCAAGGTTCTATACAATATACGACCTTTCTTAAGTATCGACCTTCGTATTAGACTTTGTGAAAGCATTGTGCTCTCCAAACTTACCTACGCTCTTCCGGTGTATGGGCCTTGTATAACTGCTAAAGCACAACGGTTGATCCAGAGAGTACAAAATGCATGCGCCCGGTTTTGTATCACCATACCACCTCGCTCACATGTCACCCCCTATTTGAACAACTTAAATTTTCTAACAATGGGGGTCGACAAAAATTGTATTTGGCTTGTTTATTATTTGACGTGGTATGTACTAAACAACCGGAATATTTATACAAAAAGCTCCTCTGGCGTAGTAATGCCAACAAGCACAAAGTCAGGAGCTGTACTCAGGAGCTGGCCATTCCCGAGCATCGGACGGCTTCATTTCGTGGGAGTTTTAAATATAGCGCGACGAAGTGCTGGAACGATATCCCTCCTCCGCTGAAGTGTCTTCAATTAAAGTCGACTTTTTGTCGCGCTTATAAGACACTTCTACTTATTCAACAAAAGTCCCACGAAATGTAGTTTTTATCCACCTATAAAACAAACGAATATCTACTTATTTACGTTTATTCTTATTTTTAACTTTTAATTTAATTCTATTTATTATACACCGTTACACACAATTTACTCACACTTCTAACTCTAATATTATTATTATTATTTTTCTACTTGGTATTATAATTATTTATTTTATTTTATTAGAGGCGCAAACTAGCTGCTATGGTCTCTGGCAGAATGACCAGCGCTGTGGAACTTTTTGCTCCTCAGCATAATGCTGAGCCAGGGCCAATTGCAACCACAGTACACACACATTGCACACTGGAAGCGAACCGAATGGCAAAAGAAAATTTCTTAATTTGAATTTTTAATTTTATTCTATTTTATTTTATGTTTTCTGTATTGTTATTTTGTGTGTTTATGTGTGTGTTTTTTGTTTGTAATAAATGTTATGTCTATGTCTATGTCTATGTCTAAAACCGCTGTGTGAGTTCGAAAAGTGAGTTACAGAATCGCAGGGCTGGACCGGTATCAAGTATTTCACCGTTAGCTTGATAAATTATCTCTGAGTAATAGTTATATATGTAGTTTATTTCCACAATATTTTGTAACATTAAAGGACGGCTGAAGAGCCCTGGGACAGAAAGCTTGTATAATTGTAAACATCTCATACTCGCAGGGTGAAGGTGAAAACATTTGTCTGGACTATGTCGAAACATGGCGCGAAATGGAAACCGCACAGAAGTTAGGATTAGCCAGGTCCATCGGTGTGTCCAATTTCAATAGCAAACAAATAAATAGGATCCTAACGCTATGTGACATTCCACCGGCTGTCAACGAAATTGAGGTATTTAAACTAAAAATATGGTGGACATCTAAAAGTATATTTAGCCTATTTTGAAACATTTTATTGTGTAAAAGAATTTTACTATTTAGACAATTAATGGTATACAATGTGAAACGAAAAAATCTGCGATGCGTTTCCTTAGGCTGCTGCCTCATTTTGCGGGCAGCGGGGCGGCAGCGGCGGCGGCGCCGGAGCGGCAGGATCTTATGCGTAAAATCAAATGGACCGGTTCTCGAAAACAGCGGCGTGGCAGCGGCGTGGCAGCGGCGCGAGGGCGGGTAACGAGAGGTGAAATCGCCCGCTCCCACGCCGCAGCCGCCGCCGCCCCGCTGCCCGCAAAATTCGAGGCAGCAGCCTTAAGGAATCTCTTGTCTTAATAAAGATATATTATATGAAACAACTTCTAGCCTCTTAAAATCATACTTAATGGTAGGGGAGCCCAAGAGGGGATTTCGGGATTTACTAAAGCGCGGCAGATTAATATACAGGGGGATAGCTTGTACTCGGTTAAGTACCTCCACAAAACATGAGGTCCATATATAAGGCCGCCTGTGAAGGAGACAGGATCAGATTAGTAAAAAAAAATTGACCATCAGAAATTCCCGAGCGCATCAGATGAAGGTAGGGTGAGTTAATTACATCCTAAAAAGTGTATATTCCACTAATCTGACAATTTGAGAGTGACGGAAAAAAAGGGAGGGCAACAAAGTTGTAAAAAAAAACGTCATCTCGACATTCTCGAGCGTACCTAATTTTTTTTTATTTTGAAGGAAATAATTCAAGAATAATGAAAAATATATAATCTGACGATTTCCGCAAGCCGAAATAACAAAAATTCGTCGATAAAGTTAAATGCGTGCAGCTGCGTGATGCCTACATTTCCTTAAACCGATCGGAATCTACTAAACGGCGTTCTAAATATTTCCCTCAAAATTACATTTCCTGTGAATTTGAACCGATTCGAAACGATAGATTTTGAGAAATTTTGAAAAATCTTAAAAAATTAAGAAATATTTTTTTTAAAGTGGTTTCTTTATCGATCAACTTCAAAAACTAATCCGCCTTTGAGCTTGAAAAACCACGTTGATCGCCACTAAGCTGGTCAAAAGCGATTGATTCGTTCGAGAGATATCGTGAACGAAAGAAACCCGAAAAAGTGTTTATTCGGGATTACTCCGAAATTTGTGGTTCGATCAATTAAAATTGCAAAATTACTTATGAGGATGATAAAACTGCGTCGAATGCCGCCAACCGCGTGAAAATTGCTTGATCCATTCAAATGTTATTGCGGTTTGAAAATTCCAAAAATAGTGTTCTATGAAACTTCTATCAGACTTTCGAGCTGGGAGAGCTCAAATGCATAGAAATTTATTTCTTTGAACTCAGCGAGCTCAAAATATCAATTTTAAGCGCCCAGGAATGGAATTAGCGGGAAGTTGCAGGGATGGCCCTTTAGGTGAACCGTTTTTCTAAATTTTTTTTTGTCAGATCAGGCGAATCCCTCTAGATAATCGTCAGATTATGAGACAGTACGTTTAGAACATAAAGATGAACCACATATATCTTAATCTGACGCGCTTGAGTATTTCAAAATTGCGATTTTTTTTTGCAAATTATGAAAATGGCTGTGGGTTTGCGTCCCATCGAAATCGTCAGATTAGTGAATGAGAGCTTTTTTTGGTGCACTTAACACTCCCTTAGAAAATCTGACGCGCTCGATAAAATTATTTTTTTTTTCATTTTCAACCCTTAAATACAACCACCCGCATCATGCAAACGATCAGATTAACATACGTACATTATTAAAAATACGTAGGGCATAGATGCTATCAATATCTGACGCGCTCGAGGATGTCCATGCAACAGTTTTTTTTTACATATTTAACTATCTATAGCCGCTTCCCCCACCGATGAAAAGGAATTTATCATATAACATTTTTTTCTTCTTATTATCTAAGCTTTGCATCCCAATAGGTCTCTACGACGCTCGAGTAAATCCCCATTTAGCATCGTGGGCTCCCCTACCATAAGGCGTTACCCTGGTGAGTTAGCATTTTGCTTTACAATGGTATTATTTTCAGGTTAATCCCACGTATCCGAACCTCGCTTTGGTTGCATTCTGCAAGGTAAACAACATTGCAGTGATGGCGTATTCACCCTTTGGGTACATGGTCCCTCGTCGAATTGATTTAGAAGATTTCAGTCCGCCAAGATTTGATGACCCCTACCTTGTGAAGTTGGCAAATAAGTATGGAAAGAAAACGTCGCAAATCGCCATGCGTTATTTAGTAAGTTTTAAAAAGTCTGTTTCAAAATAATCTTTAACAAATTTTTAACGATTTAATTCAAGTAATGTATTAATTACTCTGTTGAAAGGCGTTTTGATGAAAAGAGTCGGGACACTATTTTATTTTAAATTGAAGTGATTTAATGAGAGTTTTGATCTACCTATATTTTTAAGCTAAAAAGCTTTAAAGCTAAGTGAGCTTAGATATTTATTGAAAGTAAAAAAGTAAAGTTATCGTTATCACAACGAAACAAACCTGGTGTATTTTTAAAATTATTTTATTTATTCTATATTTTTAAATATTATTATTGTGAATATTTTGACTAAAATAAAAAAAATAAGCGGCAAAAACGGAACGCATTGAAAATACTTCGGAGTTAACCGCGCTTAATCATTAAATATTATATTTTACTTTAATTTGAATTTACCCTTACTAATTATTCTACACATATTTCAATTATTGATTGTATTTTATATATTTTTCAGATCGACCGTAATCTCATACCCATTCCTCGATCAGATAACCCGACCCATATACAAGAAAACATCGACGTTTATGACTTTAAACTAACGACGAAAGAGATTTCGACCATAAATACTTACGATATTAACACAAAAGTTTATGAATTTGGTTTTTTAAGAAATAATGTATTTTACAGCTTTTATCAGTCTTAGGAACCCATTTTAATATTTATTTCGTTGCTGATATTTTACTTGCTTGTCGAATGATTCCTTAAATTCCACGGTATAATTCCTTAGTTTTTTTATGTGCATACCAGCAACAGTGACTCGAAAGCTGTACAATTTTGTAAGTTAATTTGAAGGCAATCCAGATTTTTACTTGTTTCTTGAAAAACAAGAGCAATGTTGGCTTAGTAGTTTCAGAGTGTGACTTTCCACACTTAGGTCGTAGGTTCGAACATCGGCTGGGCACCAGTGGACTTTCTGTGTGCGTTTTACGGTATTTTAGCACAAAAAGCTGATCGCCTATATGGCTATTAGAAAATACAAATGATCACGTAACAGATGCAGAAATCGGAGGCACAGACCATAAAGGTTGTAGGGCCACTGGTTCTTTTTATTAGATAACAAAACACGTGACACATATGGTTCGGTTCTGTTGTATTTGTTTATATTTCATATCCGTGAAGAATATATAAAATATTCTTCATATAGATAAAGTACATATAAAGTTTGTAGAAGATACATTATTAATAAATGTGTGTAATAAAATCTGGTTGTATTATTTACATAAAATTAAAATTGAACTCCGATGTACGTACTCGGATAACTCCCAAAAGGCTGCACATGAATATTTTTTTATAAGGTTTGTATTAAAAAAAAATATTCGGGGCTCAAATTAAAGCTAAACTAAAAATAAATATAGAGCCTCGATTAAGATCCAAGTTTTGTACAACACGTTTGGCAGGATTAAAAAATACATATTTTTAGACGAACATTTTAAAACTGATAAGGGCAAGTGTGATTAAAAGTGCGCAGCTTTGGAGCCTCATCATACCATAGTCGTTTAAAATACTGTAAAGTAAAGTTCCAAGTTTCTCTTAGTAACCGATAAATTATGGTTGTCTAAAACTATAGTGCCCTTTTTACAAATGTTTACTTCGCTCAATGAATATTTCCAGAAAGGTATAGCGTTAGAAATAGTACTAAGAGTTCTTACCAATTTTAACAATGCTCAGTAGAGATAACAAATAAAAAAATTAAATCGGCCTGTTCTGCCTTTGCACGGCTGTACATTTTTTCATATTTTAAAACATAATTACAATTATTGTAAAATTCTTCGTTCTCGTTCTCTTCTTATTATCGTTCTAAATAAAACTCAGGCCTGTGTAATGAGTTGCAAAAAGAGTGCTTTTGGTTTTAGTCCAACTTTCCAGGGTTGGTTGGAAATAGCTGACCATTTTAAGTTGCTTATGCTTGTTCACGTTGGAAAGCGCGGAGCAGTACTTAGACCGCACGTGCGTTTCGTATGTGAACACTTGGATATTACGCCATATGTTTGATATTTCGTGACCGCGCCCGCCACCGCGCCCGCGTATCAACGTGAACAAGTACTATACACCGTATTGTGAGATTTTCTTTAATGTTAAGAAATTTTTTTTACATATTGGCGTTTTTGTTTCTTAGAAAACTCCTACACAATAATACATTAGACGTGCGATTGAAGCGGGCTATCGACTTTGATACAGTTGCCTTATACGCAAATAAGGGAGAAATAGGAAAAGGTATACACGATGTCATTGAACGAGGGATCGTTATACGCGCTGAATTGTTTATCAGTGGAAAAGTATGTACGTTCATTTATTACTCGATATCAGACTTTCACTTATAATTAATTTCCTTAGGTAATTAGTAGTTTCTTCCTTCAACTATTCTATGTGTGAAGGCATGAGACAATTATGATCCTAAATTAGGGCCAGGTATTCGGATTGTCCATTAAATTACCTCTATTTTAGACTCATAATTATAGGATGGTTAGGTAGTTTAGTGAAATAAGTATTAAAAGGGTTTTTTTTCGATCCCGCAAACTTATTTTATTGTAAAACTAGCCGTTAACTATACTCATGGACTTTGAATAGGCCGGTCTTTAAATTACTGTTGTTTTACCAATGGGACAGACACAGTTCTGCAACTGTTTTGTGACCATATTTTTAAATTATAGCTTGTCAAAGATAATAAATAATGTTCGCCCATGGCCTAATTATGAGTAAAGACGTCATTGATATTGTTTTTGAATAATAAGTAGTTTTCAAATTGTATCACTATTACACTAATTTGTTTAATGATAAGTATAATAACTATATAGGATGTTTTTACAAGTATCGACGGAACAAAAAATTATAATAAAGCGATCGATATTGTTATTGTTTAATTAAAATCATAAAATAAAGGTTAAAGTTGCAAAAATTATATACCACGTAATCGACGTCGTCAATATGTAAACATCAAGGATGTCGTGTAGGATGAATCCGTTTTTGGGTAGTGTATTGGCTCGTTCCTTGCTGATTCCTGACAAGGTGGTACCTATGCCCGAGCTGAGAAGGGCTTAAATGGTGGCCTCAACTCTCCACAGCTATGACGAAGGTCCAAAGTGTCATGACGGCGAGGGCTGAGGGGTAATCTCAACCCAGTCCTGGTAGCGTACCTGGAGATCGCAATTCAGATCCCAAGGACCTAGGAGGGACCACTACTACTCTGACCAATTATATGAGTATACCTAAATTTATAATAGTTTGTGTCAGATTCGTAGGTTTTTTACATAAATATTTGTTACAGTTACCAAACTCTAACCATAGTAAGGAGCAAGTCATACCAGCTCTTAAGTTGTCGTTAAAAAGCTCGGATTAGAATACCTAGATATGTACTTGATACATACGCGGATGGCAACGACGGTAATTATTTTTTCATATTGTTATTTATTCGTGTAATTATAATTGTTTTACTGTCAATCATGAAAACAATTCAGACTTTCTGTGTGCGTTTTACGGTGTTTTAGCACAAAAAGCTGATCGCCTATATGGCTATTAGAAAATACAAATGATCACGTAACAGATGCAGAAATCGGAGGCACAGACCATAAAGGTTGTAGGGCCACTGGTTCTTTTTATTGGATAACAAAACACGTGACACATATGGTTCGGTTCTGTTGTATTTGTTTATATTTCATATCCGTGAAGAATATATAAAATATTGTTCAAATAGATAAAGTACATATAAAGTTTGTAGAAGATAAATTATTAATAAATGTGTGTAATAAAATCTGGTTGTATTATTTACAACCAGAGACATCAAAAATAATACAATTACATGATGCCTTTGTTTCAGAAAACGCTTAATTATAACTTGTCAAAGATAATAAATAATGCTTGCCCATGGCCTAATAATGAGGAAAGACGTCATTGATATTATTTTTGAATAATAAGTAGTCTTCAAATTGTATCACTCTTACACTAATTTGTAATGATAATTATAATAACTATATAGGATGTTTTTTACAAGTATCGACGGAACAAAAAATTATAAGGTACCTGGGTCGAATATGGCCACCTTAAGGTTTGATATAAATTTTTGGACATATTTTATGGTACTGGGCTAACCATTGGTACTTATTAGTAAAGTGTATCTATTTAGTGTACAAACTACAAAGAAAAATATAACAAATATATTTAAAATTTTGAGTTACATGCATTTATATAAAAACGGGGAAAATGGCCATATTTCCACCAGTGTATATAAATATGCAAGAGACTTGTGACATTTCCGCCATGCTCTGGTGCTACTAGATGTAAGTACACGTTTTGTTCCGCGTTCAGCCAAAACTTGTGGCGCTTTGTGTAAAATCAGCCGTAGGTAGGCACCCAAAAAAGTTGTAATGTAAATATGGCCAGTAGGTGTCCATATTTTCAGCTCCAACTTTTTTTTCTACAATTCACTTTAATTAATTAAACACATCAATAGTTTAAATAGTGGCCACAGAAATATGAAATATGATATTCAATTATTTAGAAAATAATATTATAATAACAATACATCAATAAAATATCGAAATATAGGATAATAACTTACGTGTAATAACAGTGACACGTCATTCCCTTTTTGATGAATTTTGTCCGACTGGTCAGGTGCGGGGGCAACGGCGGGTATGCCGCTTAAATATCTACCGTATTGCCGAACGTTTCGGGACTTGTTCAGTTTGTCACGATGTTTTAATTTAGAGATAAGGGCGTGTGGCCATATTTTACGGCTGGCCATATTCCTAATCTAATAGACAATAAACTACAAGCTTCCACCTTTTCAGAATGCCAAATCATAAAATGACTGCTTCACGACTGATTTGAGAGCGACCGGCGATCCGAAAACCGCTGTGTGAGTTCGAAAAGTGAGTTACAGAATCGCAGGGCAGGTACCTTAATAAAGCGATCGATATTGTTAGTGTTTAAATAAAATCATAAAATAAAGGTTGACATTACAAAAATGATATACCACGAAATCGACGTCGTCAATATGTAAACGTCAAGGATGTCGTGTAGGATGAATCCGTTTTTGGGTGTATTGTGTATTGGCTTGTTCCTTGGTGATTCCTGACAAGGTGGTACCTATGCCCGTGCTGAGAAGGGCTTAAATGGTGGCCTCAACTCTCCACAGCTATGACAAAGGTCCAAAGTGTCATGACGGCGAGGGCTGGGGGGTAATCTCAACCCAGTCCTGGTAGCGTACCTAGAGATCGCAATTCAGATCCCAAGGACCTAGGAGGGGCCACTACTACTCTGACCAATTATATGAGTATAACCAAATTTATAATAGTTTGTGTCAGATTCGTAGGTTTTTTACATAAATATTTGTTACAGTTACTTAACTCTAACCATAGTAAGGAGCAAGTCATACCAGCTCTTAAGTTGTCGTTAAAAAGCTCGGATTAGAATACCTAGATATGTACTTGATACATACGCGGATGGCAACGATGGTAATTATTTTTTCATATTGTTATTTATTCGTGTAATTATAATTGTTTTACTGTCAACCATAAAAAAAAATAAAAAAAAAAATATGTTTATTATGGAACATAAGAGACATGTATCACTTATTCCACGTCATTAAATTTGAAGGCATCCCTACTCATCGGCAAAGAAGACAGAGGGTGTGCCGAGAGAAAA